GTCCCGGAGCGGGTCCTCTCCCTCCTGCCTGAGGTCTCTGTTCAGCATAACAAAAAGTGCGGAGCTGTCTGGCCTGCCCAGCACGTCTCAGCAGCACTTTGCCAGGAGTTCCGCGTGCCCTTTCGACAAGGGCCTCACTCAGGGTGACCTTAAAACTGACTACGCCCCTTTCACGGGGAATTATGGACAGGCCCACGTGGGCCAGAAGGATGCGTCCAACTTCACGATGGGGTCGCCCCTCAAGGGCCCTGGGGTGGAGGCTCTCTGTAAGCAGGAAGGAGAGCTGGACCGGAGAAGTGTGATCTTCTCCTCGAGCGCTTGCGACCAAGTGAGCACTTCGGTGCATTCGTATTCCGGGGTAAGCAGTCTGGACAAAGACCTCTCTGAGCCGGTGCCAAAGGGTCTGTGGGTGGGGGCCGGCCAGTCCCTCCCCAGCTCACAGGCCTACTCCCACGGTGGGCTGATGGCTGACCACTTGCCAGGAAGGATGCGGCCCAACACTAGCTGCCCGGTGCCAATCAAGGTGTGCCCTCGCTCGCCCCCCTTGGAGACCAGGACCAGGACTTCCAGCTCGTGCTCCTCCTACTCCTACGCGGAGGACGGGAGCGGGGGCTCGCCCTGCAGCCTCCCTCTCTGTGAGTTCTCCTCCTCACCCTGTTCCCAGGGAGCCAGATTCCTTGCCACAGAACATCAGGAGCCGGGCCTGATGGGAGATGGAATGTACAGCCAAGTCCGACCCCAAATTAAATGTGAGCAGTCTTACGGAACCAACTCCAGTGACGAATCCGGATCGTTCTCGGAAGCAGACAGTGAGTCGTGTCCTGTGCAGGACAGGGGCCAGGAGGTAGGGAACCCGCATAAATTCAAGCATGTCACCCACTCTCTCTCAGTCCTTTATCTGGACTCTCCCTGCCCCGCTCCCCACCACTCACAGATGGTTCTTATTTGCCAAGATTAAAGGTTATGGTAAAGGGACCGCTCTTCCCCTGCTCATGGATGCTTCAGGGTGATTCCAAATGAACCACTTTTGTTCTAGAAAGCACTTGAAATCTGATCTAGATTTAATACTCAAGTAGCAGAGGCAGGCTGCTTAGTGGAAAAAGTAACTGATGCATGAAAGCTCAGGCACTTCAGACCTCCCTGCTCGTTCTCCTCTCTCTGCGTTGAAAGGATGCTGTACCCCTCACCATCCTTGCACCTCACCCCTTCAGTCCAAAGGGAAATATAGAAACTTTCAAAGTCGATTGAAACTAAATAGATCCACACTCAACAAGTGCTTTTCCAACACCCTTTAAGTTTCCGTTGTCAACGGAAGACCCTTAGGCCATCCTGTGTCTGTAGTGATGCAGGTGGACAGCTTACCATCATTCTGGTCTCAGGGTCATTACAGAAGCACCCTCATCAGTCACACATAACTTCATATCTATCTCCCAAGCTCCCCACAAATGGTGAGAAGTTATTGTGGGGAGTAGCAGGGTTGAGTGCCAGCTTCTGTCCACCCTGAAAGCAAAGTACTTCATAGATAAAAATTCCCAGTCTCCATCCGTGTCTCACCAATGCTGGGAGAGGGAGCAGGAGCAACACCAGCCGCATCGTCAGCAAGACTCAGAAAGAACAGAACCCCCCCCCATGTTATTCCCCTTCCCCCATAACTTCAGAGGGCCCTGGGAAGATATGAGGGAGTCTGTGTCACAATCTGGCACTGCCTAACTGATTCACAAGGCACCAACCTGAAACTGCCACCTGTGTCTCAGACCTGCCTTAGGAGCTGGAGTGAGCAAATCCATGAAAAATCCCTCCTCAGCTGTTTATCCAAAAAACGCAGAAGGAAACAAAGCATGGTCCCCATTAGGCCAGCGCCCTGAGTACATGTCTGCACTACCTGGATATTGGCCACTAGTAAAGCAGGGATGTTAACCCCACCAGGCAGCAGAAATGCACATGGGGTGAAGTGGCTTTTCACAGAGCCAGGTGCTGTACATTCAGTTTCTGCACAGTTGGCGAGAAACATGTGAGGCTTTAGTTTGGGCGTGTTTTGAAAAGAGATTCCAAAACCCTCTGTGCCAACTGCAGAAATGCCCTGTGGTCACTTCCTTGTTTTGCTGGTTAGCCCTCTCTTCTCTTTGCCTGGCGAAAAAAATGGAGAAAGATAGGATTTAATTTAGTTCAAAGAAACTGTAAAGGAAATTTGAATAGGAACTATTTCTACTCAAGGGCACTATGTCTTCCCCAGGTTTGGGTTGGGGGCTTGTGCCAGTACAGAGGCACATCTGTGTCTCTACCCTGCGAGGACTAAAGTTTTGTGAGAACAGCAGAGGTTGTGCTCCCTCATTCCGTACTCATTCTTTCCCTCCAATCGCAGCTTTTGTGAGGTGGTCTTTTTTCCCCCTGGAACTTTCCATAAGCATCCCTGATGCAGAAGCCTGGTTATTGGGTCTGGTTCATCCGCATAATGATTTATCTCGGCAAGGATTGGTGTCACACACCAAAAAAAAAGCCTAAGCCTCCAAGTCTGGGTTTTTTTCGTCTCTCCCTCAAGAGGAGCCCTGCCATTAAGCTAAAGGGGTTGTGTTTTTATGACATTTGCACACACTCAAGAAACTGTCAGCTTTAGATAAATCTCCTTTGTCTCTCTGCTATCCCAAAAGAGAGCTTAAAGTCACTTCTTAGAACTAAATGCCACCAATAAGAGCCTGTGGTTTTTCCTGTGTTCGGACAGTATCATTCATCTACCTTAGAACTTTTCAGTTCTACATGAATTAGTTTAAAGGACTCATTCAACCTATAAAAAATAGTCACAAACGGGACTAGTCTCCCCCTGAAAAATACCACTGCTTTAAAAACTACTTTTATTTTTACTTTTTTTTAAATTGGATTTTGTGCCTATCTAAACAGTGAAAGACATGACATTTACCAAAGTTCTGCACCATTTCAGAAATCACACTTGGCTCCTCTTGGTAGCACACTTTGGACAGGATCAATACAGGAAAGCTAAGGTCTTTCCCAGTTTGACGTTTTAGTTTTTCTAGAGTAGAGGAGATTAGGTTTTCCAAGAACTGTTTCAGTAACTCATCGTCACTTCTCATCTTTGAGTTCATAACTTGCTTATGGGAGTTACTTTGCCCCTGGTGGAAGTGTGGTCTCCAGTAATAATGCTGAAGGCCAGTCCTTTACAACGTGAATTATGACTTGTTTCCCTGAACTGATCCAGGAGAATCTAACATCTACTGGGAAGATTTTGCCGCAGTCTGCTCTTGTATAAGGTCCAGGTAACTTCTCTTCCAATTAACCCCAAGAAGAGACCAGAGTCAGAAACCAAAAAGAGTTCTCACCTCCCGCCAGCCACTTGTCCAGTACTTCAGACCAACTCTGTGAGGACCCAAAATGTTAGATCAAAAGAAGTGTTAGCCTACCTTGTACTCTATAAGATGTTCTAGTTCTACCTTGTAACTCTCCCATCTCATTAGTGTTGGCCCCTCTCATCCTTTTTAGCTGTTCTTTAGCTTTGAAGAAAGCTTAAGTTAGCACAATATTGTCCTTTATCAACAATCAGCCTTTTAAAATTACTTTTTTTTTCTTTTTTTTAAATATATCTTTATTGATTTCAGAAAGAGGAAAGGAGAGAGAGAGAGAAACATCAGTGATGAGAGAGTCATTGATCGAGCCCGCAACCTGGGCATGTGCCCTGACCAGGGATCGAACCCTGATCACCTGGATCCTAGGTCGATGCTCAACTGCTGAGCCACACCCGGCCGAGCACTTTCTTTTTTTTTTTAAATACTCAAACAGCATAACCAACTCCTGACATACCAAATTTAAAAGGCTTTCTCTGTGCCTACAACAAATATAAACACATATTCACAGCTCTAGAGGTTTGGGTTTTGTTTTAATGGCATTTACTGTATAATTACTCAGCACTTGCTTTTTCACGTAGCTGTCTAGTATGCACATACCTCTAGGTCCATCACATAGGGCTGCTTTAATATCCATCGGTCCCGTAAACCACAGTTTATTCAGCTCTCAGCCCTCAACAGCCTTTTCAGTTGTTTCCAACATTTTCCCTCTTATGAACATTGCTGCAATAAACATTTTGGTGAATATATTTAGTAGTGGTGCTTTTATTTTTATGGGTTAAAGTTCCTTAAGTGGGTGAAAGGTTATGCTCATTTATTAAATACTACCTAACTACTCTCCCAAAAGGCTGTAGCAGTTCGCATAGCCTTCAGCCATTTCCCCATTCTCACCAGTAGTAGTTGTTATTAGTCCTTTAAATTTTTGCCAAGTCTGATGGGCAAAAAATGATGACTACTAAAGAGGTTGACATCTTTATCTTTGTCCATTTTTTCTTTTGTGTCATTTGTCTTTAAATCAATTTATTAATATAGGAACATTAACCCTTTCTGATAAATGTGTTTTATATTTTTTCCAGTTTTATTTATGGTATCTTTTTTCTGTATAGAAAGTTTTAAGTTTTAGGTCATTGTTATCCATTCTTTTCTTTATGACTTCTGGGTTTGCTATTTACTTAAAAAGTCAGTTTGGAAATTTTTTTTTCTGCCAATGATGAAAAAAATGAATAGGTCATACAAAGTGACAAAAGTAACAGTATGCATAACAAGGCCTTAGTTTGATTCAAAATGGGAGGCAAGTTGGGGAGAAGGAGTATAGGGGGAAGTTTTATTTCTGTGTATTTCTATAATGTTTTGATTTTACTATGTATATCTCACACAGGTTCACTTTTTAAGTTGAGGTATAATTCACATACCATAAAATTCACTCTGTTAAAATAAACAAGTCAAGGGTTTTTAATGATTCACAAAAGTCTATGACCATCACCACTCTAATTCCAAGACATTTTTATCACCCCTGAAAGAAACACCATCTCCATCAGCAGTCACCCCTCGGAGTGCCCTCCTCAACTTCAGGAAACCACTAATCTGTCTGTCTCTATAGATTTGCCTATTCTGGACATCTTATATCCATGAAATCTTACACTTTGTGGCCTTTTGTGTCTGGCTGCTTTCACTGAACATAATGTTTTCAAGGTTTATTCTTACCGTGGATGTACCCACTGGCTATGTTGTGTGCCAGTGCTTCATTTCTTTGTGTTGCTGAATAATATTCCACTGTGTGGATATACCACACTTCTTTGGCCCATTCATCAGTTTAGGATTACACTTTTTGGCTATTATCAATATTGCTGCTGTGAGCACTTGTATACAAGATTTTCATAGACATGTTTTCTATTCTTTTTGTTATATACCAGGAGGAGAATTACAGAATCATATGATAACAACTCTGTGTAACCTTTTCAGGAATTATCAGACTGTTTTCCAAGGTAACATTCCCACCAGCAGTGTCTGAGGGACCTAGTTACTCCACATCCTTGCCAACATTTGTTATTGTCCATCTTTTTTATTATAGCCATTCTCCTGGGTGTGAGTAGTATCTTGTTTTGGTTTACAGGTTCATTTTTTAAATTTGAAAATTACAGAAAAGTCGCAAGTATTTTCCAAGTAGGAAGCTTCTTAGTGAGACAGTTTTGTACCATGAGCATTTCTAATTAATTGTGAATTTTAGTCAAGAAGCAGTAGAAAAGCAGCTGAAAGTATTGATTAGTTGGGTTTGCTTCATTAACATGTTTCATGTCGAGAGGGATAAAGTATGTGAGCATGTGTGTATCTGTGTGTGTTTATGTAGGGTCCAGGGACAGAGAGAAATAGGTCCAGCAGGGACACTGACACATAATCGCCTTGAAGAGCTGTGTCTGACTCTAACTCTCCCACCCAAATTCTGATTTCCAGACATATGTTATATGTAAAATTTTTATAGTTGTTTCTGTGG